CGATACCGACTTGTCCCGCTGTCTGAACTGCAGGATGTCCTCCCCAGCCCGCTTGGCGCCCAATGTGTCCTCGAATCTGTCCCGGAGCGCCTGCATGAAGTCCGGGAAACTCCGCAGTTCCGCCGCATTGGCGTCGTATAGTCCGATCACCCAGCTAGCCGCTTGGCCGTCTAACAGCTCGGCCACGTACGATACTCTATCCTCGTCCCTAGCGAATAGGTGACCACCCCTCTGCATAAAACCCCTGACGTGCGTCAAAAAGTGCGGCAGCTGTTCAGGGTCCCCTGAGAACTTCCCGGTGATGCCTCGAAGTCTCAGGGCGTCCGCTGCCCGTCGATCCACCGACCGGGACATCGTGGGCGGTGCCGGCTGGGGTGCCGGGCTGCCACCCCTGTTGCTCGTGCCATCGCTCACCGCCGATGGTCCCGCTCTCTGTAGCAAGGTCTGGAGCATCGCCTCCACAGCGTCTAGGCGCCGCTCGACCCTCTCCTCTAGTCGGGCGAGCTTCTCGTCCCGCTTGCGGTTCCGGGGCCCCAAACCCCAGGTCATCGTGACGCCTGAGCTGTCTGGCCCTTGGTTCACGTACATCGACCACCGCTCCGTTGGAGGGTCCCCGGCCCTGGCCGCTGTCCCGTCGCCCCCGGGGGGCTCTGGCCGTCCCTCCTCGAGTCCGGGTTCCTCGTGCTCCAGCTGACCCACGGATTCCTTGTCGCTGGTCATGACACTGAGATGGGTGATTGCTCCTCTTTTGAATGTAGTTCAACATGGGGACCAGAAAAATTGTTCCATGTTCACTGTCTCCTTGTTTCTCATAGCTTATCAAAACACAGCATATTTCCTGAGAAAAAGGACTTGATGATTATATTCATCAAGTGTTGGGCTTTAGATTCTACCTTTGGGCAATTCCCATTAGAGGAATTTTTGTTCTTTATTGGAGAAAAAAGCTGTTCTTTGTTCATAAAGAACTAAACCATCTGGAGTCTATTTAATATGTAAATATCATATTCAGCCAATTGTAGAGCATGAGTGAAGCTGGAGGCCCCTGACCCAATGCCTTAAGTTTCTTTATAAACACCCTCACACTTTGCAGACAGAGTCCACAGTGAAGAGAAACTAGAAAATCATGTACTGTATATTAAAAAGTCCTATCAAACTCAGGGTTTGAGTGTGTAAAGAACAGTTGGAGAATTAGTGGAGAATTACACATTATCACAACATCCATCCAATTTCTCTACCAATTTTTAAGCTAGGGACACGGTCCCTAACGCTGTCTCAGCAAAAAAGTTGAACCTTGGATTCTGGCCTTCCCTTCAGGCAAAGCCCCGGATTTCTTAAAAGGATAAAGGGTGTGGGCTGCTTAGTTGGGGGGGGGGGGGGGGTATAGCATTGGGGTCTTGAAATCTGTTGCATCCAAGCTACCAAAGTTGTGGCATCAGAGGGGTGCTAATCTCTCTCCATAGTGTGCCAGCTCAAATTTCCTTGGCCACCATTTCCTTTCCTCTATCCCAGTTAGGTGGCTCATCAATGGGAGGGAGGGAGGACATGAGAAATTTAAAGCACAAATCCTCATGGTTGTCACTTTTAATTCAATATCACAATTATTCAATGGGACAATTCAATATCACATTCCATCTCTCTCTGTATACATTGATGGAACTTGAGTTCCCTTTGGATTATAATATTGCTTCAGATTCCAGAATCTTTATGCTGCACTATTTCCAACTTTTTGGGAGGAATGTAGGGTCCTCTGATAAACTGTGAGTGTATTAAGGAATGAGAAAGGGAGGGGAAAACAATTATACTAAGATAAGACAAAAGAAGGAAAGTTTAAATTATGGGAAGCGACTGTGAATCTGTTGAATTTCTACCTGCATGTCTGCTATAGCGGAAGAAACACTAATAAACCTTGTCTTGAAGAGATGCACCAGGGAGATTCAGTTCGTTCTACTGCCTGGGGAAGTAGCGCCTGTTAAATGTCTGCCTGTTCACATCCCTCCCAGAACCATGATCAAGTGGGAACAACAAACAATTGGGGAATAGGAAGCTCACTTTTGCAAACACAATAAAGACAACATCTTCATAAAATTGCATAGCACAGAATCTGAGATGCCTAAAATGGCCATTTTCTTGGAATTGACTCCCAACTGGAAACTGGAATAAATGTAAACTTAAGAACAAAACATTTTCTCTTATTGATCTGCAATAGCATTCGCTACCTTCAAATGACAGTACCTTCAAAAATCCGCTGTTCTTAATTAAAACAGCATGTACCCATTGTTTTTGCTTTCATTGGTAACTCCATCTCTCTGGGGCTTCCATTTGTGAGGATCAGACTCAAAAAAAACTTTCATTTCCTAGTTTAGTATATATCAATAGGAAATGCATAGATTTAATCACCTAAATCTAGAATTTTCATGGATTGTCACCCAAATGAATCTTTGTATGGGAAATTAAGCCATTGCCCTTCCGGAAGCTCTTTCCACACTTCACACCTTTATCTGGTTTCTCTTCTGCATGGATCCTTTTATGGGAAGTAAGGGAACCACTATGACTGAAACTCTTTCCACACTCCACACATTTATATGGCTTCTCCCCTGTGTGGATTTTTTTATGGGAAGTAAGATTACTGTGTTGGCGGAAACTCTTTCCACATTCCATGCATTTATACGGCTTCTCCCCTGTGTGGATCCTTTCATGTTGCATAAGGGATGCATTTACACAGAAGCCCTTTCCACACACACTGCATTTATATGGCTTCTCCCCTGTGTGGATTCTTTTATGGGAAGTAAGATTACTGTGTTTGCTGAAGCTCTTTCCACACTCCATGCATTTATACGGTTTCTCCCCTGTGTGGATCCTTTTATGAACAGCAAGAGACCAGTTTTCGCAGAAGCTCTTACCACACTCTCTGCATTTATATGGCTTCTCCCCTGTATGAATTCTTTTATGGGAAGTAAGATTACTGTGTTTACTAAAGCTCTTTCCACACTCCATGCATTTATACGGCTTCTCCCCTGTGTGGATCCTTTTATGAACAGTAAGAGACCAGTTTTCGCAGAAGCTCTTTCCACACTCTCTGCATTTATATGGCTTCTCCCCTGTGTGGATCCTTTTATGGGAAGTAAGGTTACTGCATTGGGTGAAGCCCTTTCCACACTCTATGCATTTATATGGTTTCTCCCCTGTGTGGATCCTTTTATGAGAAATAAGTTGACTGCTATGAGCAAATGTCTTTCCACACTCCATGCATTTATATGGTTTCTCCCCTGTGTGGATCCTTTTATGGGAAGTAACTTGACTGCTTGTTCTGAAACTATTGCCACATTCCATGCATTTATATGGCTTTTCTCCTGTGTGGATTCTGTTATGAGATGTAAGGGAACGGCTCTCACTGAAACTTTTTCCACACTACCAGTTTTCGCAGAAGCTCTTTCCACACTCTCTGCATTTATATGGCTTCTCCCCTGTATGGATTCTTTTATGGGAAGTAAGATTACTGTGTTTGCTAAAGCTCTTTCCACACTCCATGCATTTATATGGTTTCTCCCCTGTGTGGATCCTTTTATGGGAAGTAACTTGACTGCTTGTTCTGAAACTATTGCCACATTCCATGCATTTATATGGCTTTTCTCCTGTGTGGATTCTGTTATGAGATGTAAGGGAACGGCTCTCACTGAAACTTTTTCCACACTCTCTGCATTTATATGGCTTCTCTCCTGTGTGCATCCTTTTCTGACATGTAAGGGACCCATTTTCATGAGAAAGAGTCAAAGTCCAATTGAAATGTTTTCCATTGTCTCTGCATATATAATCTTCTCCTTTGGTTTGGGTTGGATAGTGTTCATTTACATGTAATTTGTCTTTGAATAGCTTTACACTTTTCACAATGGATTTTTTCTGTA